CGGTTTTGGACCATTTAGTGTGATGCTGGCTTTTGGTTCATAATAGATGGCTTTTATCAGATTGAGATCAAGACTGTCTATTCAATTTTCTATAGAGTTTTAATCACAATTGGGTGTGGGACTTTGTTAATACTCTTTCTGCATCTATTGAAATGAAAGTATGTTTTTTGTCTTTGGCTCTGTGTTAATGTGGTGCATTAAGATTTCTTGATTTATGTATGTCAAACCATCCCCACATCCCTGGGATGAATCCTGCTTCGTCAGAGTTGTGGGAGATGACCTTGTTGATTATGCCCAGTGCAGACTGTAGCAATGCAAGCTATAAAGAATTAACCCCACATGTGGCTTACTTCAAGAAGCAAGTCTGGTCTAAGCCTATGTAACTCCTAGGAGCACTGCAGGTGGCACACGGGTCACCCTGCCAATGATCATGGCAGAGGCCAGAGAAATGGCCCGTGAAGCTGTGGGGCTTAATATGAGTTAACATGGCAGCTGAGGTGAGGATGTTCTTTTGTTCTTGCAACAAAATTCCATTCCCAAAATTAAAACTTTTGTAACTGAAAAGAGAGAGTTAATTGTTAACCACAACCTCTATCTGGCCTGCTCTATACCTAACACAGAATGCTTTTCCTCTTCTTTTACGAACCTGGCCTGCATCAGCACCTTATCTCTAGCAACCACATGTGGCCCCCTAACCCTAATTTAACAAATGATTGTGTAACCAGTACATATCAGCAGTTACGGCTGTTTCAGAGTCTTTGCTGCTTACACAACATTGACCATCCAAGTTCCCCATTTCGCTTTGACTCTGTCTCTAAGTCTGTCTGCTTGCCTTGCATCATAGCACCAAACAGGAGATCAGGATCCGTGCAGGGGGTCTCAGGTACAGGGTGTATAGTCTCCTCAATATTCCACTGCATTCTGTTTGCTGATATCTTCTTTAGGATTTTTGCATCTACGTTTATGAGGAAGATTGAACTGTAGTTTTCTTTTTTGGTTGGATCCTTGTCTGGTTTGGGTATAGGGTAATGCTTACTTCTAGGAATAAGTTTGGGAGTATTGCTGCCCTTTCAATTTCATTAAAGAGTTTGAGGATTTGTGGCATCACATCTTCTCTACATGTCTTGTAGAGTTCAGCAGTGAATCCGTCAGGGCTTGGGCATTTCTTAGTTGCTCGGGTTGTAAGTTACATCTTCAATTTCATTAACGGATATTGGATTATCTAGAATTTTTTTGTCTTCTTGATTCAGCTTTGATAATTCACATGTATCTAAGAATCTGCCCACTTCTTCTGTTTTCCATCTTAGAATACAGGTTCTTGATGATCATCTGGAATCCTGCAGGATCTATTGTAATTCCACCAATTTCATTTGTAATTGCATGGATTTGAGTGTCTTCTTTTCTCGATAAGGGTGATTAAGGTTTATCAATTATAGTTAATCTTTCAGAGAATCAACTCTTTGATACATTGACTGACTTATTTTCTGAGCCTCAGTTGCTTTAATTTCTGCTCTGAACTTTGTAATTTCCTCTCTTGTACGAGCTTTGAGCATGACTTGTTCTTTTTCGAGAAGCTTGAGGTTTAACATTTGTTTGTTTATTTGAGCTCATTCAGTTTTTCTGTTATGAGAATTCACTGCTGTGAATTTCCCTCATAGATCTGCTTGCATGACATCCCATAAGTTCCAGCATGTTTTATTGTCATTATTGTTTAATTGCAGAAGCTGTCTGCTTTCTTCAATTTCACCTGTAACCCACTGGCTGTTTGGGTAGATGTCATTTTATTTCTGCGTCTTTATACAGTTTTGGTGATGTCCTTTGCCAGTGATTCCTACTTTCATTGCACTCCGGTTTGATAACATGTATGCGATAATTTCAGTTCTTAGGTATTCACTTCAGCAATTTCAATGAGTTAGTATATGGTCTATTTTGGAGAATGTCCTATTTGCAGCTGAGAAGTCTGTGTATTGTGATCTTGTGGGATGTACACCCTGTGTATTCTTCAGTTGATATTCATTGATTTTTTTTTGTTCGTTTGTTTAGTTGATCTGTTTGTGACAGTGGGGCTTTGAGGTCTCCCATTACAAATGCATTAGTGCTTATTTGATTTTTCATGTCCATCAATATTTATGCTATATAGTTGGGAGCAGTGGTATTTGATGTGTATATATTTATGATAGCTACCTCTTCTTATATTGTCCCCTTAATACGTATGTTGTGACCTTTGTCTCCCTTGATCAGTCTTGGCTTGAAATCCACTTTCTCTGCAATAGAATAGCCACACCTGCTTTTTTCTGGGTTCCTGAGATATAGACTATTGTTTTCCATCCTTTACTTTCAGTCTATGAATTTCTTTTTTACTTAAATATGTTTCTTGTAGGAAGCATATTTTATTGGATGTCATTTCTTGATCCATTCTGCCAGTCTGGTTTTTTGTTTTTTGTGTATGTGTTTTGTTTTTTTAGTTTTTTGAGACAGGATCTCACTATCTCGTTCAGACTTCCCTGGAACTCCCTGTATAGCCCAGGCTGGTCTGGAACTCACAGTGATCCTCCTGCCTCAGCCTCCTGAGTGCTGGGTTTACAGGCATGTGTGACCACGCCCAGCTTCTGCCAGTCTGTTTTTGATTGGTGAATTGAGACCATTTACTCTGATGGTTATGACTGATATTTATTGACTTTTCCTTGTTATCTTATTTTCCTGATGATGATTCTCTTTCTTTCCCCACCATTTAATTGCTTGCCTTGCCTGGTGGATTCATCCTGTTGGGGTTTGTGGAGATATAGTGTTGATTATCTCTTTCTCTTTGATTGATAGTGTTGATTATCTCTTTCTGAATATACTTCAGAATGTTTTGGAGTGCTGGTTTGGTGATCTTGAATTTCTTCAGATGTTCTTTCTCATGGAAGTATCTTATTTCTCCATCAATTTTGAATGATAGGTTTGAGAGGTACATCAATCTGTGTTGGATGTTGTTTTGTTTTGTTTTTTAGGGTTTGAAATACTTCACTCCCAGCTGTCCATGACTGAAGGGATTGTGTTGAACCATCTTCTCTGGTTCTGATGGGCTTTCCTTTGTGGGCGATTTGTTTCTTTTCTCTAATAGCTTTTAACATTTTGAGGGGGTTGAATTTCTGGAGTCTTGCCTATTAACATGCCTTGGTGTAGATTTTCTTGATCATGGTTATGTGGATTTTTATATACACCTCACTTATCTGTACAACAAATTCTTTTTTCAGGCTTGGGAAAATTTCTGACATTATTTCTTAGGTCGTTTGTGCTATCTCCTGCTTTTTCGCTGGCTCCAATCCATCTTATGTTCTTCTTCTTTCCCTTACCTAGCAGCTATTGGATTGATTGGCTTTTGCTATTTTTAAGATCTCTTTCTTTCCATCTTTGGTAACTACAAAGCTGTCTTCTAGATCTGATATTCTGTCCTCATACTGGTTCCCTCTGCTGTGTATACATACATTCAATAGAGCTTAGAATCTCCTGGATATCTTTTTTAAATTGTTTCATGGAATCTATTCTCTTTCCTATGTTGAGTATTCATAGGTTCCATCATTTTTCTAAGCTCCTCTTTTAAAAAAAAATCTTTATCAATTCTAGATTCACTAATTATGTCTTTCATTTGGTCATCATTTCTGTAGTTTTCTGAGAAATTATTTCTGGTTTGATTTTTTCCAGAGCCTCATTCATCTGTTTCATTACTTCTGTTGTTACCATTTTTGAGAATCTAGGTGGGTGGCTTTTGAATTGTCCCACCTCATTGTCCCATGGCTGGACTTTGGTGCCCTGGCAGTGAGAAGTGGCATCGTACCTCCGTGTCCTCCTCATTTTGCTATATTCCAGGATTCAGTGTCTGAACTCCAAAGCTCAGAGAGGGTATTTCCCTGCCACTCACCACTCCATCGTCTTCTCGGAAGTCCTGTGATTGCCTTTCAGTGGGTAGCTTTTTTTTTTTCTTTTGAGATGGGGATTGACCATGTAATCCATGGCTGTCCTTGAACTCATTAGGCAGCCCAGGTTGGCCTCAAACTCACAGAGATCTTCCTGCCTTAGCCTTCCCTGTGCTGAGTTACAGGCGTGCTCCACCATACCTAACAAAAGGGGAAACTTCTGGAAAAAGACACCCTTGGGTCTTAACACTGGCAAGTGGCTGGGAGTACATTTACATCTCAAAGGAAAAAATAATTTACAAGTGAAAGTTTTCTAAAGTAAATGTTCTGAGGAAGGGTAAGGCAAAGACCTATAATCAGGAAAAATCTACCTAAAGTTCAGTCATGTTGAGGAAAATATTAAGTGCCTTTCTGTTCAGCAGACCGAAAGGAGACTGTGGCAAAGTGAGCTGTATAACCCATAAGTCAAATGATCTCCACAAAGTTTGTTCATCAAGGAGAGGTGTTTTTCTGTGGTTAGTGCTTTCTACCATCCTGTTAGATCTCTGCTTCCTTAAAGGTCTTGAAGCACTTTCCTTCTGATGCTTTGTAGTGATTTTTAAAGTAAGGCCTAATAAGCATTTCTCCATTTAAAATTCCAGGTGATTTCCCAGTGTCGGCAATGATTTCTGTTTTTTCTTCTTTCTCTGGCTACATTCACTTACAGTTGTTCAGTGTAACACAGAAGGCACATGAGATGTCCCAAGCCCCATATCCTCCACTGCCTTCTCTCTGGAATACGATGATTGTAAAGCAGAAGTACTTGTCTGTAATGAAAACTACAGTTTCTTTCAAGAGAAAAGGTCGTTCACTAATATTTTCAAAACCTGCTTCCTATAAAAGTGTATAAATATCAATGTGCCAAAGACACTTCCCATTTCCTCCTAACGTAGAGGTGCTGGTCACATTCGTGAGGTCACAAATATTAAACATTTTCTCTCTTGAACAGCACTGTGTGACAGAAAGCATACCTTTTGACAGGAGTGAGTCTCTTGAAGAGCTTTATAATATCAAAGTCAGTGGTGGAAATGTTGGTAACCTGTTCCATTTCTTGCTAGGTAGGATGATCATAATGTTGAAGCAATGTCTTTAAAAATCATCATTCACCACCAGCAACACAATATTGGCTCATCAGCAGCATCCCATATGGACACGCAGGTACGGGGACACTGCTGAGGGATAGAGAATGCAGGCTTATACTGTACCTTTAGATTCCATTTATATCACATTATTGTGGATTTATAGAAAGTCTATTTGTAGTGGTAAAGCTGTAGTATGCAATGCATTGCTCTGCTGTTATAAATGTCCTTTTCTGAAATTTTTCTTGGTTGTCCTTAGGGCTTTTCTGAACATGATTCCAAATATTAGCAAGCAGGTATTTTAAAACTCCAAATATGAAGTCATTTCTCTTAATTTTCTGAAATTACTCCTCTGAGTTCATAGGAATTCTGCAGGCACACTCACCCATTTTATCTGTTCATCAAAAGAGTTAAAAATAAATCTAATAATCCATGTATAACAAGAGCTTTCCATTCCTAAAACACTTTGATATATAGCTGATCTATGAAATGATACAACCTGCATTTTTATACAGTTAAACTCAGCTGTCTTTTTTCCCCATGGTGAAAAAAGAGTGGAAAATCTGCCTGTAAATCATGGAGAGATTTAAATAAATTCTTATGTGTGACTTTGAAGAAAATAAAATGTTTCTTAGTACAGTAGTAAATACTGAGACCATTCAAACTTTTTTGTGGCCATTTATTTCTATGTTGGATTCTAAATATGAGTGTAGATGATATGGTACTACTTCACTAAAGACGTATTATAACGTGAAATTATGTATCCAGTATTAGTGCTGGTATTTGTCCAGCCTCAGCTCAGTCTGCTTCTCTGCCTGCACCCTTCCTAGGACCTGTTTCCCAGTGAGCTGCCCTTGGCAGAAATTAAGATTCCTTATATGCATAAATATTCTAGATGAAAGTTAAAATGAAGTGCCATTTTTATTGGCAGAGGAACTAAGGAAGGATGAAACAGCCTTGCTGGTAGCAAGTGTCTCACCTACAACTTTCTGGGGGTTCCTGCAGGTTCACCATGGATGGAAAACTCTTGAGTGTGATTTGGCTTTTGTGGATCTAGCATGGCCCCACAGGAGATCATGTGACTACATCAATCACTGAACAAGGAGAAAAGAAATCCGGGACAAAATGAATATAATTCACCAGAATATTCTGAGAAGACTATCTCAGAGAATATTTTCTCCATGTAGTTTCATTTAAAATTTTTCATTTATAATAGATATGCCAGAAGCCCTTTGATAGGGAAACATTTAGGACAAGGTATCTTAGGCTGTCCAGACCTCTATTTATTTAGGTAATAGACCTCCTACTGGTTGTTTAACTATTTTGGTAAGCAAATACATGTGAACGAATCCTTTTTTTTTTTTTTCCTAGTAAAATAAGGAAATGAGGAGAAATGAAAGTTAAAGCTATTTAGCAAGCACTCAAGACTTTGCTTGTTTCCTTATGGGGCTGATCAGAGAACCACTCATGTAGCCCACCTGCCTGTGAGGGATGACGGCTTCAGACTGGTGAGTGTGCCCCTGGGTGTCACGGTCTGCGTGAATGGAGGGTCCCTGGAGGGCAGATGGTGGGGAGTGAAGAAAAGACAAAGAGATACGAAAAGCTGAGGCCAGGTGGAGCCTTCTTCCTGATGGGAGAACAGGACAGCCTGGGAAGTGAGGCGTGTCTGCTTATAGTGGTAGGATAAGGGCAGTGCCGGGGGAGTCTGACTGGAAGTTCTGGCCTGTAACCAGACGGGGAGAGTAGCTAAGGTCTGCAGAACATCATGCTTCGATGACTTTATGGGGCACGGATGGGGAGGGAGGCACCCACAGTGTGGTGCTCCCAGCATCTCCACCTGTCCGATTTTGTAGCTGCATCTTGTGATGTTGTCTCAGGCAAGTTCAGTGAGTAGCAAACAAATCATTAGTACCAACTGGAAAGTCAGAATTGCCAGGATCATAGCAATGCTATGGCTAACCATATACAAAGTATTCAATCCATGTAATGAATCAAGAACCAGTTTTGCCTCATCCTCGGGGATGAGGAAACTAACATGAGCGTGCTGAATGGACGAGATCTGTTGAAACTTTTGGAGACCTAGGCTGAGATTGCTATGATGTGAAGAAAGATACCCATTAACTATGCGGTAACCTTTTTCCAGGCCCCCGGTGAGGAAGGGCAGTGATGAAAATATGAGGGTATTCAGCGTGGTAGTGCAATCCTTAATGGTACTTTAGGGCTTTAGCTTGATTACCAGTCTCTAGCACTGTAGCTTCTAAGGCATTAACCTGTACTTCCAATTTAACATTAATATCTTCCTGGGTCTCAAGGGCATAAGAGGTGTTTTTTGCTAGATCATTGCCAAACTGCACATTCTGTGCATTTTGTGCTAAGGCCATGGATGCAACTACAGTGGTTGCAAGCAGTGTAGCCGGAGACATAATTCTCAGGATAATATGTCCTACCATCTGATGGGGGCGAATGGGCCATCTCTGTATTTCTTCCCGTACTTGCAGCCCACAGTCATGATAGCAAGCACCAGAAACATGACAAAGGATGGCGTATATCATATTAGCACACCTTTATCCTTATTCATGGTACTAAGGCAGGCAGTGATATTACAATTTGGTAACTGATATTAAAAGAGTCTCCTTGTGGAAAAATATTGACCTGTCTAGCTACGAACACCTAAGGACTTTGCAGACATGCACATGTCCAGATCTTATTGGCCCCAGTGTGACTCCTGTCCTTTAAGCTATAACTGGAGAGAGTGATCACTTGAAAACTGTCATCCAATCCACAAAGATCTCTTTGGAATTATTTTGATGATATATGCAGTACCAATGCCAGAGGGTGGCTGGTGACGTTGTATTTTGTATGAGACCAATCCTGGAATGTTATATTTTGTACAGCTATTTCATTTACTTCATGGGTGCAACAGCCTTCCCAAGAAACATACTTTGAGAGAAGAACAGAATAAGTGACACTATGGCAAGAAGAGACGGGGCATGAAAGGTTATAAGGAGTATCTGTGAGGTAAGATTGAAACTATGAATTTGCACCAACTCATCTCGGTCTGTGCCTGATGCATTGTGGACAGTGGCTCTCTTCAATTACCGGAAGTGAGAGACAAATGGAAGATGGACCAAGACAGAGCGGGAGGCCCACTGTTCTGCTGCTGTAATTTAGGTGGTCGATATAGGAGAGATATGAGCATCAAAACAGCTCCCCAAGATAAGGGACTCATTGGTAAAAATAGGTACTGAAGCAGCAGTTTCCGAAAGAGGGCGATGTGCCAAAGGAGGCTCTGAGTTTGTCCTCTGTTGGAAAACACGCATATACTGGCCCCTACATTATTAATTACATTGAGCCATTTTCCCTAAGTTAGGATATCCTTTGACAACTTTTGTGTCTTGGACATGTGTATAGAATTATCAGTATCAATGGAGTTTTGATGAAGGATATTTATTTTCCCTAAGTGGATTTAAAAGTGTTTTAAAATGAAGTCAACTAGAGAAGGTGACAAAATTAGTCAAGAATTTTGTTTTGTTTTGTTTGTACCAGGGAACAAACTCAGGCCCTTGCACTTGTGAGGCAAGTGGTGGAACCTCTGAGCCAAATCCCTAGCCCTAGAAGGTAACAAAATTAAATTGAGCTGTACAAGTACCTGTACTCCTCCTTTAATATTTATGTAAGTGTGCTTTTAGGGAAAAGTGAGTACATTCAACAATGGCTTGTCTCTATGGGTTCTAAGGACTTATAATGCTTTTAACTGGATTCGTTGTGTATAATAAGGTCTCTTGTTTTTTCCAGTACTAGGCATTGTGCATGTGAGGGATGTGTGGTGCCACTGAACTAAATCTCAGCCATATAGTAAGCTATTTTTCAGAAGGGCTATCTCCAACTGTGGTTAGGGGAGAAGTGGCACAGGTTTCATCTAAATGCTTAGAGCTGAGAAATGTCAGTGTAGAGAAGACTGAAGTTAGGGACCCCTTCTAGGTATTACTCTTGACTTTCTTCTCCCTGAGTGTGGGTTCACAATTTGGTAGAGGTACTTTAAGAGGTACTCCTGGGGCAAAGAGGAAAGAGAGTTTACATCTAGCAGCACCTCATTTTCATCTCTACCTAAATGTTGTCCCTGGGGAGGAAACCCAGGGCCTCCTACATGCTATACAAGGGCCTTACACTAAGCTATATCTTCAGCCCCTGATTCTTATGTGCTTCAATGTCTGGTAGTATGTGTGTGTGTGTCATAGTGGTATAGACACTGTTCATAAAAGTAGCCGTTCCAACTACACCCTGCACATTGTTTGTTTTGATATCAAAGAGAAAGGCTCAACACACAACTTTTATTGAGCTAGTCATTAGGGAAAATGCACAAAACTTCCAGCACTCCACGGATGCCTGTCTCTCAGAAACTGGCTTATGAAATCCGTGCTGTCAGCTCTGCGGACCCTTAGGACGAGTCTTAAGGGTCCTGTCAGCAGCGCAAGACCTTCATGCTGGTGAGCAGAGATGACAGGGCAAGAACTGTCCTTTCTCCTTACAGGGTCCAAGACATTTACTGGGTTGAGTGAGATCCTGGCCATAAGACATATTAGTGCTAACATTTCCAGGGTGGAGAGCAACTCCGGAGCAGTGTTTGGCAGAACCGCCCCTGAGCTTCCTGTGCTGCGGCCCCTGCTCTAGCGCTGGCCTCATCCCACAGTGTGAGTTCCTGTGGTTCTTTCTCCGTGACACCTTTGGCATCTGGGGAGACAGATTAAGCACAAGACAAGCTCTCAGAAAGGATGTTTGGATTGTCTGTGGTATCCCCATGAATGGGGAGCTTTCCAGGAACTGACTCATTGAAAATGACCACCCCAAGTATCCTGAGGCAGACCTTCATACCTCCCTCCCGAGAGCATTTCCGAGGCAGAATATTTTAGCATACAAGGACACAGGGTGTCCTCTTTCCCAGTAGGATGAGGAGCCCAAACACCTAGCTGCTGAGGTCTGCTAGTCCGTAGGTGTCTATAGAAAAGTTCTGTGGTTTGAGTTCGCCATATAAGCTGCCGTGCTCCTGACAATATTGGATGGAATCCATGATGTGTTAACCTATACACCCTGTCCCCAGGCAATGTCCTTGGCAGATTGTGCCTTTCACTCCTGAGGATGTCTTAACATAGGTTTACCTCAATCACAACTTGTAGGATGGCAGGACTCACAGGGATCTGCAGAGCCCAAAGGCAGCACATGATGGGTGTTGCAGTCCTGGGGATGGGAATGTGTGTCTGGGGGCCCCTGCTGCCCTGCTCTCCTGGGGCATTCACTCTGGAGTAGTCTGGAGCAGGCAAGGGGCAGGATCCCTGCCCCTTGTGCTGGTGAGGAGAGGTGCCTGGGCATGCCCTGTCAAGGATGATGACATTTCCTCTGCGATCCTACCATCATCCTAGTGTGCATGCATGGGCTTCCCATGGATTCTGAAGCATAGCAACCTGAGTGCCTTGCCCTGCAAATACAAGAAGGTGGCCATGTCCTGGTGGTATTGTATTGCTCTCTCCTAGGGAAGTCCACAGCATTTCGTGGTTGAATCAGAATCTGGCCATAAGGCTCAGGATTGCCATCTTTGTCAGGATGAGGAGCAGCTCAGGAGGACTGTGGGTAGTACACTCCAGAGCCCGAGTGCTGTAGCACATGCTGTATGGCTGTCCGCTTGCTGAGGTTGCAGTGGAGGAGTTTGTCCATGAGGTTTTTGGCATCGTATTCTGGGAGAGAGATTAGGAGAAAGAGAACTCCTGTGTGAAGATCTGTTGGATTGTATGTCAGATCCCCATTAAAAAGGAACTTCATGAGTGCCAGTTCATATAAAATGACCCCATATATTACTGGTGAGGGACTCTATACCTCACACTCGAGATAATGTCTGTGGCAGATGTTTCATCATACCTGAAAGCACAGGCTCCTCCTGCACAGGTAGATGTGTAGCCTGAACACCATGGCATGGATCCTAGTCTAGCCGTGGGTGTCTTTCAAGAGGTTCATGGATAGGAGGTCCTCGTGAATGCTTCCTTGCTCATGACACTGTCAGATGGCAATTAGGATGTGTGGCTACATCCCCCCTTCCCCACTAAGTGTTCAAGCAGCCTGTGGTTCTCAGTCCACACGCTTTTCCGCAGGTTTAACCCAACCACATACTCTACGATGGCAGGGGTTAGGGTGGCAGGAAATGCCATGGGTCCCATTGGGGGTCCCGTGGATAGGAATGTGTGGCTGGGATCCTCTGATGCCCTGTTCTCCTAGGTGCTTCACTCTGGATTATATGAGGCCAGGATAGGTGGTAAGCTTGCTGGCCCTCGTGCTGGTGAGCAGTGATGACTGGGCAAGACCTGTCTGGCATGATGACATTTCCTCTGCACCCCCATCGTCATCCCAGTCCCAATGCATCGGCTTCACCCCGATACTGGAAGCCAGCCAACACGGTGCCTGGGGATGCCGCAATTGCAAGGTGGCCATCTCCTGCTTTCACTGCTTTCTCCTTTTGGGGTCCCAGACATCTAACGGGTCGAATCCAATGGCCGTGAGTCTGAGGATTGCCATCTCTTTGGGTCGAGGAGCAGCTCAGGAGCACTGTGGGGCTATAAAGCCCGGAACCACCAGTCTTGACCACATGCTGTGTGGTTGGCCAGTTCCTGAGGTTGTAGTTGATGAGGTCTGCCTGAGGTCTTTGGCATCACACCTGGGGACCGAGAGGAGGGGCAACAGCACTCCTGCTAGAGGGTCTTTTTAATCATATGTGTGATTCCCATGAAAAAGGATCTTCCCAATTACCAAGTCATATAAAATGAATGCAAATACCCTGGTGAGGGCCTTGATCTGGGGCAGAATATTTCAGCATGCATGAAAATATGGTCTCTTCCTGCATTTTTTTGCACCAGCATCATCATTCTCATTCAGCTGCACAGGCCTCACCCTGATCCTGATGCCCAGCCCACACCATGCCTCTTGAAGCCACAGCTGGAAGGTGGTCATCTTCTAGTTTTATAGCTTTCTCCTTACAGGGTCCAAGACATTTACTGGCCTTATTCACATCCTGGCCATAAGACACGTTCTTTCTAACATTTCCAGAATGGAGGGCAACTCAGAAGCAGTGTGGGGCAGAACAGCCCTGAACTTCCTGTGCTACAGCACCTGCTGTCATCCTGCAGTTTGAGTTAATGAGGTTCTTTCTCCATGACATTTTTGGCATCCATGGGGAGAGATTATGCAAGGACAACTTATCAGAATGGATGTTTTGGATTGTCTGTGTTATCCCCCTTCATGGGGAGCTCCCAGGAACTGGTTTTTTTTAATGACCCTAAATATCCTGGTGAAGGCCTTCATACCTCCCTCCCAAGATAATTTCTGAGGCAGTATATTTCAGCATACAAGGAAACAAGGTCTCCTCCTGCCTTTGGAGAATCAGCAGCCCAACCCCCTAGTTGCTGATGTCCTCTAGGCCTTGGGTGTCCATTGAAAAGTTCTGTGGCATGAGGTTGCTGTGTATATTTCCATGCTCCTGACAGTACTGAATTACTCCCATGATATCTTCTTTTTTGATGTCATCTCTATAATTCTCACATGCAGTACTGTAATATATACCAGTACATAAAATTTTAGCACTTTTCAGTATAGTACAATCAGCAAACATTACAGTACTGCACTGTAGAAGCGAGAAGAACCCTGTAGTGTGTCTCACATTCCCACATCACAAGCCCAAGTGCCAGTCGGAAGTCCTAGCAGGGGGCCATAAGTCGGAATAGTCACTAACCAAGGAGTGTCTGTACATGACTCCATACAAGTATACATGCACATACACAGAACATCTGGCATCTTCTCCAGTATTATGATTTCATTGCACATAAGTGTATTATTTCTTTTTCTATACTATGAAAATTTTATTATAATGCAAAGAAGTTATTATTTTTCTTACACACTATACAATGTGTAATAGATTAATATGAAGGCATTTAGGAAACAGGTCATATTTTCATGTCTATAACTCCTGGTTTAAGAAAATACAAAGTCATCATTTTATTAAATTGACATGTTTATTAGTATACCAAAAAGGCAGAAATTCATCATTATGAATGTGGGGTATGAGTACCACTCCTCTAGAGCAGCTAAGTCCAAGCTGTCACCCTCCCATACTTCTTATCCTGACCTTCTGACTTAGGACAGAAAGTAGCCTCAAGTAGAAAATGCAAGACAGAATTGACTGTTTTAAAACATAAATGTATTTTATCAATTTCAAAGAAAATCCTAGAAAACAATTTCCCCATTTTGCAACAATTTCTCCTAGCTCTTCCCTGCTTGGTATCAGAAATCTCCAAGTACTTTTCTGAAACAGTGCCCCTTCTGGCCAGAACTATGCAAAGCGTATGCCACCTGACCAGGAAGCCCAGGGTGGACACTCTGTGAGGGTCTTGCTGGTTCTTCACTCTCACTACTCCATAAATCCGTTTCCTAGGAGGTCCTGGTAGTCTCACTTTGATGAAAATATCTTCTTCTTACTTCATGAAGGCAAATTCTCCTGGAAATTCAGGTCTTCTGTGTGAGAGTCACATCCTTCATTATTGTCTCCAGTCTTTTCTAGCCTTCCTGGGTGATGGCATGTCCCTATACCCCAAATGAGATGAGTAAAAGGCTTCTGCAGAAACTGAGTATAAGTCCAGTGGGTCAGGCAGAAGGTGATATCCTGGGGGTTTCACTCCAGGTTTAAGGGGTCAGTGCAGGTGGCAGCTCACTGGCCCTCCTGCCGGTGAGGAGTGATGACTGGGCATGACCTGTCCAGCATGATGACATTTCCTTTATATTCCATCATCCTGTTCCAAATCCATAGCTTCACCCTGATCTGATGACAACCTCACATTTTGTGTAGTCTGTTCCTAATTTGAGAATGCTTTGTCTTCTCCTTTATGAACTTTTTTTCACATTCATTTTCATGATAAATGCACATAGGTTGCTTTTACCCCAAGTGATTGCCAATAAAAGTCAGTTCTTGGTGGCTGGGGATTTAGCTCAGTGGTGCTGCCGCCTCCTTGGCAAGCAAAAGGTGCTCAGTGTAAATCCCTGTAGCGAAACAAAAATACAGAAAAAAGTGAGTGCCTGAGACTGGCCAGAGCCTTTCTCGGTTACACTGGAATTGGATGTCCTGGCATCCCCACCTCCGACGTAATGTAGGCCACTCACACCTCTGCCTTTGCTAACTCCTTCATAGCGACATGCATCCCTGTGCCACAGTGTTTTGAGAAGAACACTTTTCCAAAGCCACCTCGGGCAATGAGGCCCAGCACATCATAGTTTTCCTGGAGTTTATGTCTGTGGGAGCTGGTCCTGATGCCCATCCAGGATGTCCCCTCACTACACTCACCACAAACACTGCTTCTCGCAGCATAACAATGTTCTACACTCCCCATAGCACCAAATCAATCACCAAATCTCCAAGAGTTGTCTGCATCCAACTCCAAAATTCTCCATCCACCTACAATAGACCCACCTGAGCCACGGCCTTATGTAGCTAACTGCTGTGGCCTCACACAGGCTCCTGTGATGTCCCAGAACCAATGGGCCAAGGCAGAGCTGGCCACAGCCACCAGGGCCACCTCACTCTTGACCATTAGGACCTTCTGCTTATAACCAAAAAGGTTACAGAACTTCTTGCTTGTGTGGGTTATGCAGATTGATGCACAAGTGTTTAGAAATGAAAGTCTATCCATAGGATGCTCTGAAATGCTTTTCCTTTCTGGTCTGAGAATCTGCAATACCTTTTGTTTTAGAGTTCTCATGGTGTCTATACTCAACATATCCAATTCCTTTCGCTTTAAATTCTTGCTGGTTTCAAAGGGATGCTACAACTTCATTGACATTAGAGTAATATAATGCTCTATTTAGGAAACGTCGTAGCACATTAATGCCTGTGAAGTGGACAGGAAGCTACCTATCATAATCATTTCACCCACAAAGACAATTGATAGAGAAGTGCTACACAGTTAGGCCCTGGCCTTCCCTCCATTTTCTTCTCCCACAGAATGTTTTGTTTTGGAAATGTAACTTTGTGCTGCTGGGCTCCTACCCAATGTGTCAAAATGGTTTGCGGCTGTTTGAACTTTGTGACCTTTCAGGGATGTTCTGTTAAGCTCTGTCCCCTCACAAGAAAGTTCTGTTGAGCTTCTCCCCCCACCCCACCCCAGGAACATTCCGTGACTCGGCCCCTCTGCTCAGAATCCACTGAGCCTACTGGGACTTGCCAGTGAATAAAGGCTTTTTCCCATCACTTCAACTTACCAGCAGATTCCCAAACCTTCAAATTATGAGAGCTGTGTTCCAGAGCTGCCACACTGAGCTGTAAGGCTCAGCAGTGCCTCACAGCTGGGGCACTTGGCTACAACAGTGAGTTGAAAAATTCAGCTATGCCACTGACATGTGGCAATTGGCTGTGACATTAAACTTTAACACTTGGTTATGACTCTGAGCTGCTCTGCTCTGCTGCAACAAGAGCTTTTCAGGATGTATCAGTCTGGGTTGGAAGTTGTGGTCTTCTATGGCTCAAAACACTTCACTCCATACTCTCCTGGCCTTTCAGGTTCATGTTGAGAAGTCTGCTGTGATTCTAATGGGTTTACATTTGCAAGTGATTCATTGCTTTTGTCGAAGAGCCTTTCAGAGTCTTTCCTCATCTTGGACTTCCTGGATACTGACTGTGATATGTAGTGGAGAAGTTCTTTTCTAATTGTGGCTACTTGTGGTTTCATATGCCTCATTTATCTGTATGTTAAATTCTTTCCCTACATTTTGAAAGTTTTCTGCTCTTTTTGCTTTAAACAGACTTTTATGCCATTTGTGCTGTCTTCTGACTTTTCATTAATTTCACTTAGTCTTGTCTGCGCTATCTACCAGCTGTTGGATCCACTGTCCATGTTCAGCAGTTATATGGTATCTCTGAGTATTTGGTCACTGTCATGAGAACTAGAGTTCTGCCTTCATGGTCACTTGTGCTGTACTCTCCTGGATTTTTGGTTAGTACCTTTTTATGGACTCTAATTCTTTGCTAAACCACTCATTCATGTTTTGTGTCTTGTGTGTGTGTACAAACTTGGGAACCTGTGCTTGCAAGGCAGACGGCAGAAGTACTGAACCAAATGCCTCGCCCCTGTTCTGTGTCATTTCGTTTAGGTCAGCCAGCATTGCCTTAGTGTCTTTGGTAAATTCACTAATCATTTTCTTTAATCTCTTTTATTTTTTTATTTTATTTTTTATTTTTTTGGGTACCGGGGATCGAACTCGGGTCCTTGCGCTTGCAAGGCAGGTCACCGAACCGCTGAGCTAAATCCCCGGCCCTTCTTTTATCATTTTGAATAATGCAGAAGTTTGGTTTCTTTCCACCCCTGCAGATCAGCTTGAAGTTTTGGAGTCATTTTGTTGGCTTGTCTTCTTGTTTCTTGCCTTGTTTCTGTGGGCGGTGACTGCCTGATTGATTCTGCCCAAAGCAGGCTGTAGGCAGAGCAGGCTACAAACAGTTAATGCTGTGATTGGCTTGTTTAAAGAAGTGAGTCCAACGGAGGCCTATGTGACTCATAGGGTCATTGCAGATGGTGTGTGGTTCAATGTCACCCCCTTTTGCCAACAGCAATGGCAGAGGACAGGGAGATACCTGTGAAGCTGTGCGGCTCAGTGTGGGTAACAGCAGCCAAAGTTGGGGTGACTCACACCCAATTCCATTCCCCAAATTATAACCTTCTTTACTAAAAAGACAAGGTTAATTATTGACCACACCTATATTTTTTCTGTTCTATTCCTAATTTAAGAATGCTTTGTCTCTTCCTTTATAAGGCTTGCCTACATCATACCCGGAGCAACTCTACATAGCCCTTTACCTCAGTCTTAACTACGATGTCACCAATAAATATAAGCAACTTTCCTTGGCTGTGGTGTTTTGCTGCTTGCTCAGCACTGGCTATGCTGGCTCCCCATTTCTCTCTTTAACTCTGCTTCTGATTCTTTCTTCTAGCCATGGATCATAGCACACTGCAGTAGATCAGGACCTGCCGCAGGGGCCTCCAGTGTGTGTGTGTGTGTGTGTGTGTGTGTGTGTGTGTGTGTGTGCGCGCGCACACGCTGAGGTTTGCAGTTCAATTATCTGGAAAGGCTTTACTCTTTAGTGTGTGTTTTTCAGTAACACTCTGGCTGTGATGAACCAGAGATCTTTAACTCTGTTGAGTTGCTTAAAGTTTTAGGAACATTTGTATCTGTGCTTTTCAATAGTATCTGCATGCAGATTATTTCTCTGTGATGTTTCTGTCGGCTTTGCATAAACACAACAGAAGTGAGTTCAAGAGTTGGGAAATATTTTCTTCTTTTCAAATTCTTTGACACTGTGTAAAACTGGTATCATTTCTAACTACAGTGTTTGGTGAAATTCACCAGTGAAGGTATTTGAGCCTGGACATAGGAGGAAAGCTTTAACAAATTCAGTTTATTCTACAGATGTGATGCTTAGTCCTTTAAGCTTAGATCACTCTTATCTTTCAAGAAATCAGTCCACTGAATCAAAGTTGTTGAACTTATTGGACTGAAGATCTCCCCTTTTCTCTCTATCCATTCTGGCTTTAGGTTCAGGCAGTAGTGCTATCGCAAATCATTTCTGAATGTTTTTCATCATAGAGAACATTTGTATAATCGAAATCCTTTTAAAATGATTGATATTTATTTTCTGACTGTAACTGTGGGTCTTTCTTTGGAAATATTCTTCCATGTATATTGGAAACCAGTGAATATTGTTCTGTTGTTTTGGTGGAATTTTCCTATAAATGTCAGTTAGTACATGTTTGTCAATAATGTACAAATCTACACGTCCTTACAAATTGTGTTTTTCGTCAAATTTTGAGAAGGATGTTGAAATATCTGACCATGACTGTGTATGCACTTGTCCCTTTTGCTTTTACCAGTAGGTTATGCACTTGAAGCTGTTTCTAGGTGCACGGATGTTCTCAATTTTTTATGCTTGTGATCAATCGATGTCCTTCTCATGAAACAACCCATTTTAACCTCGGTGATCATTTCACTCAGAAACTGACTGATGTCCGTGTTGTCACGCGAGCTACTGTGATTCATTTGAACTGGGCACACTTTTCTGCATCCTCTTTTGACTAAGTTGCACTTTTATACTTGCAGAGAACTGTTTTAAAGTATGCTCAAAGCAGGCTGTAAAGACTTAACCCCACAATAGGCTTGTTTATCAAAGTGAGACTGGCTGAAGCCTATGTGCCAAGGTTAAGAGTGACTCCTACCCAAATTCCATTCCAAACTAAAACCTTCTGACTAGAAGGACAAAGTTCTAACTAAAACCACATGTTTTGTTTCTTCAGTTCCTAATTTGAGCATGCTTTGTCTTGCCCTTTATGGGCCTTGTTTACATTAATTTCCATAGAAACTACACCTAGCTTGCCTTTACCCCAGTTGATTATCAGTAAAAGTCAGGGCCTGGGACTGGCCAGGGCCTTTGTTGGTTACACTGGCATTGAGCATCCTGGCATCCCATCTTCTCCCTCTTTGTTCTGTTCTTCAGTGTAAGTTTTTTCCTCAGGCCTGTGTCATGCACTGGGCAGGGGACTGTATCCTAACTGCAGGGCTCTACACTAAATAATACCTATCATGGGGGCTTGAACCACAAGCAATCACCTACTCAGAAAGCCTACTCAGAGTAAGAAGAGAAAAAGAAAAACAAAGAACTGATGATGCAGTGCACCTTGCATCTAGATAAGGAAGTCCAAACAAGAGTCAAAACACAGAAAAAGCATTAGGCACTTCAGATGTAAGAAGGTAGGAAAAGTAGTCAGCTGGTCCTAAAACATGGGGAAATCACTTTCAGCCCAAGTGGCCTGCAGTGTGGAAATAAATGCTGCAAAAGATAGCTAAATAGAATCATTTTTCACAAACAAGGACTGTAATGAAAAAAATAAGTAAATGGAATGAAAACATCTAGCAAAGCTCTGAAGAGCATAGAGCAAAGCAGTGAGAAATACTCTCAGCTTTAAGAGTCCCAAGGCCAGCACTGTGATGCAAAGATATGCAATCCAAAACAAAGCCAGAGAAACATGTTCTACCAGACATAAAGAAATTTTATATGGAAGTCAAATTCCAAATTTTAGCCCATTGATCAATCTATCTTCATTTCAATTTGAGTTGATGTTTAATTGGTGTGCTTAAAACATTTCTTGTGCATTGCAAATTCTTGAATTGTAATTTGAAGGTTAACTTGCTCTTTTCTGTATTGTTTTGAAGACTCGAGTTTACTGCTCTTCAATTGGTAGCCAAATTTTGAAATATAACAATCTGAGAACAGAAATAAAAGCGGACTCTTTAAAATTTAAACTGAAGACAAGATGTTATAGAAGGTTTATAATGAGTGAGATGAACAATATGAAGAAGGCTATAAGTAAAAGAGATGTACTTTACATAAGAAAGGATTTTGTATATTTGTCTTGTTCAAAGGGTAGAGATAGATATACAAGACCAGAAGACCTAGGCACATCAAGAAGGTGTGCGGAAGTGATTTTTCAAGAAATACATATGTTTGCTTGTTGGATTCAAGTTTGTTATAAAAGGTTTGCATTTACAGACATAAAAACTTTCATTCCTTCTGATTATGATTCTACAAGAGACCTCTGTAAGTAACTTATTAAATGTTTTGACTATCTTATTTACAATTATAAATCTAAAAGTTACAAAGGGATATTATTAGTCTATTAGGCTAAATATATTTGAGGGCACTCTATTTTATAAACAAATTGTTTTATATGTTTGCCTTTTCCAATCATATAGTTATTTTGTTGGAGCTCTACAATTTTTGCCTTTAAAAAATATTTGCCTACAATTGAAATTGCTTTATAGAGAAAAGTTATTAAACTTAAAGGCATGTGTTTCTTTTCCCCCAAGGTTTCTAGCAGATCACAGTGATGTGATGCATATTGTTGTCTAAATATAACCATTCCAAAATTTTAATTGGTGACATTGTATTGTCACAATCTTCTTGTTATAGAATATTTTAAAAGCTTTGTCAACATAACTAAATGGAAACCATTAAGTTTGGAAAAGCTACTAACAGGACTCCTCTTGGTGAGCAAAGGAGCAGCTGCCTGGAAATATTTTCCAGCCTTTGCTGACTAGGGGGACCCCAACAATTTCCATAGTCTTAACCATAGACGGGCTCCAATAGTTTTCATAGGAGACATCAATGAAAATTACTTGTTTGTTATTATGTTTACATTGTTTAATCATCAAAGGGTTAAGATCTAAATACACTTTTGTGATATATGTACATTGGTCATTTTCAAAAGATAAAATTATCTGTGAAAAAAATGGTTTTACTGAAAAGATGCTTTTGGAATCAAACTAACTTAAAGGGCATGGGGCTGGGGATTAAGCTCGGTGGGAGCACACCTGCCTCACAATCACAAGGTCCTGAGTTTGATGCTCAGTATAACAACAACAAAAAAACCAAGAAACAAAAACTAAATTAAAGGTCATAGGTTTCATATAACTGTGATAATTATTTTTTATAATTTTTTAGTATACTAAATGTATTCATGCCTTCTGATGATACAGGTTTTCTAATATATTGCTTAAGATAACAACTTCCTTTTGATTCAGGTATTTCCTTTTCTGTTATGTTTCAGCTATTTGTGATAAGAGGTACATTTATAGGTTGATGTATTTTCTTTAGGGGGCATCCTATCAAAAGAGAACAATTTAGATAAGAGGCTTTTATGTGTGTTTTTGGAAAAGAATGACTACGTTTAACAATACCTATTTATACCAAGATGGACATTTAAGTGTGTTACAAAGATAATGTCATTATGATTGTCACACCAAAACATTATGTGTAGTTCTTGATTTGAAGCTTTTTTCTGTTAACATTTTACAGGAATTCAACTCCTAGAACAACCATGATTGATGAACATGGCAGTGTTCTATATTTTATATTTCAAAGTGCTTGCTATCTAGATAAAATTGTAATAATGAAGTTCACTACTCCCATTGCAATGCTAACATGATTGACTTTCTCTTCTGGGTGTTCAACAACTAAAGTTTAGAGACCAGAACTAGAAAGATAATTGGGCTAAGAAGACAGCCACTCTTTTGGCCCTGGTCCTTTAAGGTCAACAAACAACCCAGAATATGATAGAAACTTTTCTACAAGATCTTACAAAAACAAAGGGAGGTTGTTGGACACCAAAAAGTTATAGTCAGCTATATCAGCTAAACATATTATAAATCCTTGTAATCCACAGGTACAAGCCATTGTTGGGCACACCCACCTTTCACTAAAAACACAAGTACATAAACAAAAAGGGAGTGCACATCTCTCCACAACCTCAATTGGATCTTTTTACTTTCATTTTAAAAATTGTAAATCCCATTATGGAAGGTAAATATACTCCATTGAAACTTCACTGACAGAAAGATAGATCTACAGATATGTCCTAGACACAAGTGTCCAAGGATGTCCTTGATAAGGGAAAACTTTAATAGTGAAAACTTAGGAAATGTTACAATATAAGATAACTTCTGCCCCTCACTGTGCTTAGTTCAGAATTCACGGGTACCAGAGGCACTTAGTCTCCCCCAAAAGTTTTGTAAGTGAAAAGAACCATTGTTATCTTTGTTGACCAAACAAGCTCCCTTCCCCCTGGCTAGAATAGGTAGCTGAATAAATCTTAAAGGTAACTTTCCCTAACAAAGAACTTCATCCAGGTTGAAATTCAACTGCCTTGCCATCATGCTTTGGGAATCAGCACTGTGAGCTGTGAAAATGCAATGTAACCAACTGAATGAGATCAAGGCTGTAAAATCCTATAAAAGGAGTTGTGACCCAATGGGGGAGTCAATCAGGGCACCTCCATTAGGCATCATAGATCCCCATCGATGGAGTAAACTTTTTCATTTCACTTCCATTCTGCTGCCTCTGTGTGTCACTTGCCAATTCCTTCCATAACATTTGGTGCATTGGCCGGGAAGGAAAGGGATAACCTGACAAGGCCGAACATGGGCCTCGATCTGAGTCCCACCAGAGGGAGAGGCCATCCACCTCCTCAGAAGGGAAGAGGTGTGCCCCCAGGGTTTCCTGGGTTCCCTTTCTAGGACTCGGAGGCCAGCATGCTGGCAGCAGATTGCTGGAACCCGAAGTGACAGCAGAAGGAAGGTGAGTGAGTGAAATCGTCTGTCCCAATGGTGAGATTCCCTGTGTTGCTCCCTAGTTTGTCTTGCTTTGCTTTATTTCTTAGTTGAACATTTGGGCAGATTACAGATTGGAGGCCTGGTTAACCTCCCTTCTCTGCTATTTGTAAGGATTCATGTCCTCAATTTGGGCAAAATATAAAGTGCTTTGTATTGTGCTGTGTAAGGGGCCCCAGGGAGGGAATGTGTTAACTTCTTGTGTGACTGTGTGTGTGAAAGAGACTTGGTTAGGAGAGTGAGTAGAACGAGCTATGAAAGCCATCAGTAGCCTCATCTGTACACCAAAACAAAGGGAGGGGGCGCTTGTGCTTAAAGAGCCCTGCCGGCATTGCAGAGCTTGTGTGGGTCAATCCTGTGAGTCTGTGGCTGTGCTTAAAAAGGACAAAACGGAGACTCTTGTGACGAGAAATTCTCCTTTAGTCCAAGCAAGCCTGAAAGAGCTGGGAAGCTCACAGCCAGGCTGATGGGTGAATGAGGCCGTTTTCTGGAATGGCACCCCACTCTTTGTTTATCTTGCATTGCCGGACAAGGGAATATCTAATGGTCATGGGGAATGCTAATACTAAACCAACTGTTCTTAAGTACAAGATTCAAAATTTTGTTAAAGGTTTTGTGGGGGACTATGGGATAAAACTGCCACCAAAGATGCTTAAGAAACTTTGTGAGTTGTCATGGCCTCAGCTAAGCCAGACTTCCCCCCCCTCAAAAAAAACTCTAGACAAAAGAAAAGTTATCTCCCTTTGTTTTTACCTGAGACTTTGACAACTTGGGGCCTGTGTGCTCTAGGAGCTGCTCAAGCTTCTGCTCAGCAGCAATCAGCTGCTAGTGAGAACTGTTTAGTTTTGGTCTTAGAATAACTGCTTGCCAAATCTGCTATTTTTCACATGGCAGATTTGCCTCTCTCAGAAAATGCAACATCATTAACAGGCAGATCCCAGCGCTTCCCCTTTGGAGGAGGTCGAGCTGATTCCCCCTCCACTTGAGTTGCTGATATCACAGGTGTGAAAAAGGTGGGGGCAGAAGAGAATTGCTTGGCTTTACTGCACTGGAGGGTGCAGATGGGAAACCATGGTCTGGCTCAGAGAATTGAACAGGACTTGCACTCAGATTAGGAAAATCTAAAATGAAAAAAACAAATCTTTAATGGATTAAAAACAGCTAGCTCTGAAAGCATACAGCAGAATAGAGGGTGGAAAAAAAAAAAAAACACTCCAGGGTTTAAGAGCCCCAAGGCCAGCCCGATGTTATCAGGGTGATGCTGACAGCAAAGGTCTGGAATCTAAAAGCCAGAGAAACTGCAACTGTGCTTTACCAGATAACAAGGGATTTTTACAAGAAAAATCAAGTTGCAGATTTAAACTATTGGGTAAATGTATTATTGTTTCAATTCGAGATGATGTTTGATTGGTGTGCCTAGAAAAATTTTTCTTGTATATTGCAAATTATTAAGTTGTGATTATAGGGTCAATTTGCTCTTTTCTGTATTTTGTTAAAAAATATATATAAGGTTAATACTACACTGACAGCCAAATTTTAAGATGTAACAATCTAAGAACAAAAAAAGGACAACTGAAGTTTGTCATAGAAGGTTAACAGTAAATGAGACAGAGAAAAATATTAGGAAAGCTATGGGTAAAAGTGGTATACTTTTGATATGAAAGGATTTTGTTTGTCTTGTTAGAAAGAGATAAAGATATACAAGACCAGAAGACCTAAGTATGTAGAGAAGGTGTGTGGAAATGATTTAATAAGAAAATATGTATGTTTGCTTGTTGGTTTCAATTGTTATAAAAGGTTTACATTAACAGTCATAAAGAGCTTTCATTCCTTTTGACTCTAATTCTACAAGAGATCTCTGTTAAATAACCTGCAAAAGTTCTGACTAGTCTTAACTAAGAGATTTTATAATTCAATTAGCCAAATACATTTGAGTGTATTATAGTTTCATAAATTGGCTTATATGTTTGTGTGTCTGTCCAATTGTTTGAAAAGTGTTTGTCCAATTATATTTTGATTGAAATGACATCAAGGATACTAATAATTCATTATTTCTATAACCTGGTTTTATAAGTTAAAATTTTGTCAAGCTAATTAAATATAAATTTTTAGGTTTGGGTACAGTCCTGTTGGTGAATAAAAAAGCAGCTGCTCAGAAAATTTATTCCGGTCTTTGTTCACTAATGGGAGCCCCAATAATTTTCATAGCCTTCTGAGAAGATATGCCCCCAATAAACATCACTAAATATGTTCTTATAAAATATTTACATTGGTTATCATCAAAGGGTTGGATTCTAAACATGTTATTATGATATGTTTATGTCATTTTCAAATTATGATGTTTTCTGTGAAAAAAGTTATTAAGGGGTTTTATTGGAAAAATGCTTTTGATACCAAATTAGATTAAAGGACATGAAGTTTCATACATAAAATTATGATTATTATTGTTAATTTTCTGATGTACTAAATGATTAGAAACTTCACAGGGTATTAAACTATTAATGCTGCTTCAAGAGGCACAATATAAAGTTTCATGGAAAAGGTTCAAATTTACATACAGCAAGTCAAATATCTAGGATTCAACGTTTCCAAAGAAATATGCTGCTTGAGAGATAAAAGTACTTGAAAGCAGATGAGAGAATATTTGGGGTAACAGGTTTTTGTAGGATCTGGATTCCAGGGTTTGCAGACATAGCCAAACCTCTACATGAATCTTTAAAGAGCCAGAAGGACAGTAATTATTATAGGGTAAAAAGCAAGAGTCAACATTTAAACAGCTAAAACTAACTATCTCTGCTGCCCCCTGTTATCAGGGATCCTAAATGTGACCCAGCCTTTTACTTTGTACATGACTGAAAGAAATCATACTGCTTTAGGGGTGCTCACTCAAGGAGTTGGCCCTTGGAATCCGCCAGTGGCATATTTATCTTACAGTCTGGATCCAACTGTGAAGGGATAACCTCCTTGTTTATGAGCCCTGGCAGCTGCAGTTATGCTAATTAAGGAAGCTGACAAGCTAACATTAGGAAAAAAATAGATTGTTCAGTTTCCCTATGCCTTTTAGAACTATTGAATAACAGGACATTGATGGCTCTCAAATAATAGTCACATAATACCAGGCCCTCATCTGTGAGAATCCCCACCTATATTTTGTTCCAGTTAAAACCTTAAAACCCTGATACTATTTGCCCTTGGAACCTGGCC